AACAAAGTAATAATGTCGGAAGAGCTCGACCTTCTCGCGAGCCTCCTGAAGCATAATATCCTCTGCGGTAAGTGGGTGAATGCCAAAAGCTTTAGATATGACCTTCATCTCAGGCTCCGTGGGGCAGAGGACATCAAGCCACCAGACTGGTCTTTCTCCGTACCTGACAGTCCTTTCCTTTGGTTCGCCTGCAGTGTTCTGAGAAACGTGAACACTTTCATCGGCAGACTTCCGTCCAGTAGGTGTAGCACGTCCAGATTCGCTTCTTGAAGCAACATGTGCGAGAGGATCCTTGAGCGGCGACGTAGTCCCTTCGCGCAAGTCGTGGTGATCATGAACTGTCGATAGTGATGGCTGGCGCGTGTGAACTTTGGAGTTACCCTCTGTAGCGGTGCTGTGATGGCGCAAGCCCGTTGGAAGAGCTGTAGGTTCCATGTCGTCTTCATCTGATTCGTCGTCGGATAGCACCCGAGGATCTGGAACAAAAAGTTCCCGGAAGCCACCACCAGGCTGAACCAGCTCAGAGATAGTCTGACTGTGAATTGTGCTCTGGAACTCCTCGTTGAAATATGTGAAACGATATGGGGACTCCTCGTCCGTCTGGTACCATCCCTTACGCACAGGGCGCAAGCGGCCATTGATGAGCTGCGGTTCTGTGATTCTCTTTACACGGCGCTCCTCCGTTCGGTCCTCCTTTTCCATGTGACTCCACTCCTCCAGTACAGATAAGTCAGGCCATTGACCACGGCGGCGGCGCGTGCGATACTGTCGGTGCTCATGAGCCTGCGATTGTGTATCGTCATCTCCGAGCTCTGACATACCAGGAGCAGGAAAGCAAACGTCCTGCTCAGCTCCGGTTGTCATTCGCCGGCCCATATCAGGGCGATTGTCACCCATGCCCTCCATGTCGGAGAGGATGTCGATGTCACCCATCATGCGATGCGGAGAGTCGTCGCGACTTGCGCCAAGCCCATCCCGAATCATAACATCCCCCAAGCTTAGTTCTATACGGTCCGCGGTACCAAAAGTAGGCGAGCCTGGCATGGATGGAGGGGCGTTGACATCGTAGTTATCTCTTGCGCCAGACGAAGTTCCTAGGCGCGTCGTTGAAGACTTGATAGACGCGCGACGACTTCTCGTTTGGTTTGATCTTGCGTCACTTGCGCCGTAACCGGAAGTCACTGATTCGCCGAGCAATGGTGCGTTTTCGTCCCACGGTGTATGGTCAGGATGCTCTTCCTCGGCAGAGACAGCTGGTATCGATCGTAGACGGTTGCTGGCTGAACCTGAGTAAGGTGAGACTGGTATGCCGCTGGCAGCTGGCGTCGTTGATGCTCGGCGGGGACGCAATGGTTGATGGTCCCTAGAAGTTTTTGTTAGGAAATTGCCCTCAATATTTGTCCCGGCCAGTCTAGCTTACCGATGATCCAACAATGCTTCACTATCTATACTGGTATTGCTCAAGTTGGCTCTCGGAAGATTGAAGAACCCTTCTCCCGTTGCTTCGCGATCCTCGTCGTGATCATCATCATCCAATGCCGCAAAACTCTTTCTGCGCGTTCGCTTCTTCCTGCCGCCGCGATGGCCCTTCCTCTTCCTAGCCTTGGATGCGTTGGAGTTATTTGACGACTCAGGAGCCTGGAGTTGATTGGAGATCGAAGCAGGAGGAGTCGCTTTGCTAGTGCTTGCCAGGTCGGCAAAACGATTGCTCGACATTGCGTATACCTTCAATGGGCGAACGAGCGTTTTTGAGACGGGTGAGAAGAGAAGAAGGCTGAGGAGGAGAGGAAGACCACCAACGCCAGAGGTGCAGTGTGGGATTTCTCGCTTGGAGCTGCAAATGAAGAGGTAATGATGTCAGCTATCAATGGTTGACAGGGATATATTTTAGTGTAGTTTCCACTAATAGACAACCTTGAGATAGTGGAGGCCGAGAGCAGGCCAAGAATCACCTTATTTTTTAGAGTTAAGATATGAACGGGTTTTTCTAAATGGACTTCTCATCGCTTACACTTTGTCCTGTATAATATTGGTCGTGGTAAACGGCCGATGGCCACAATTGCTGCCCACGTGATGTATTCACAGTAAACACATGCTAACTTTAGCGGCGATTCAACAGGGCTGCAAACAGACACAGGCTGACCAGCAACCTATGGCGATGCACTTGCTGTAAATAGCAACCGATCCCCACAGTTTGGGGTGACTCGCTTCAGGTTTTCAGTGATAGATATGGAGGTTAGTAAGGTACTGGGTAGGTAAGTAGTCATTGAACTACTTGAAGCGTCGACTTGTTCTGTGGTCAGTATTGGTCTGAACGTACCTATGCAAGTGATGCGACTAAACTACGATATCTTTATTTCCATCTACAGCATCAATGGATGTGCTACATGCCATTTGACTCTGGCCGGCACATCAAATGGATGTGTACCATCAAAATAAGCAGCGCCTTGAGGTTCGCTTCATGTAAGTAAATGTCTACCTACCTGCCTATAGAGCCACATACATGCACCTAAAGTGATCCCAAAGAGCCAGTCCTCACCAATCCTGAGTTGACATAGGGGCAATTCAACTCAATGTTTATAGAGAAGGGACAAACACTGCGACTACGAAAGGTAAGGCATACATCTGAGCAGACGTCCTACTGATGCTGAATAATTTTCACCGGAACCAATCCTCAGCGAAGGCGCGGTGGCAGAGTGGTCTAATGCGATAGACTAGAAATCTATTCTCTTCGGAGGCGTCTGTTCGAATCAGGCCCGCGTCGATAGGACCGACCATGCACAGGATCGGATGTTATCTTTTTGCATATTTCACACTACAAGTTAGGAAATTGTCACCTAGTCTTCAGCTTGCTTGGCTCCAAGTCTCGGTTGCTTTATGTGTGGCTTCGGCATTACTTCTCTCTTTAGATATTCATAACTTTAGAGGTATGTTATTTCTGATATGTCAGGTCTAAATTTCTATTATTATCAGTATATATTCTGCTGATATATACCAAAGTAGTACTGAGTTACATGTTCTTCCCCTATGGAACCAGTCTCCGCCAGAACAACATGTGCATGGTATCAAAAAATAATCCTCAATCAACTTCAGTTGCCAAAGTCCCACAATTTAACTAGTAAGCTATCTGGTTCGGCGTCAGCCTCCCCGTCATTTGGTGTGAAGACCTTTTTGGGGATGTGGAACTCAATAACAGGCGCCTTCTTTACATCCTTTGTCATCTCGGCTTCGAGGAGCTATGTGACTGTTAGCAAAGTGCCCTACATATATTGCCGAAGGAATGGGGGCTTACAGTGGCATATGAGTGGTCGAGGAAATCTTCGATGTTGTAAGACTGCTTCGTGAACTGCTCCGAGATGATCTTGGTGATAGTTGCAACATTAGGATGATAATGCGATTGAAGTTGAACAAGCTCCCACAGGCAGCTTTCTATCGCATCTGTTTGCATAGGGTCCGTCTCTTCGGAGAGGAAAGGATCATCGACACCGTGCTCCTCAATTTGCTTCTTCACCTCTGGATCTTGAACCTCTCGATGAATCATGAATGTACATGTTGGGTGACGCTTGAGCAGGTTGTAGATCCAAGGAGTCACGAATACGATAGCTCCAGGGGGTGCATTGAGCGCAAGACGAGCAAGGCGCTTGATGAAGCTGGCCACCATGGCTGCTGGTAGATGTGTCGAAGCAAGAAATGTGTCTAGAAGACGGAAGAATCGGGATCGATGCTTGGAGTGAAGAATGTCGCGATCGAGGAGAGAGTAGAGCTTGGTGTAGAATGAGGGATAGTCGAGGTTGCGTTCCGAAATCAAGTAAAAGACACCGGACAGAGCCAAAAGAGACATTGAACCTCCCGAATCGTAGCAATTTGTCAAAAAGTCCGAAAGTAACTCAGGTTTTGTGAACCAGGGAGCAATCACGGTCGAGATGACGTTGAGAATTTGCTTTCGCTGGTCCTTTTCCTCAACAAGGGTCATGAGAGAGAGCCATGCCTCCTGAGCTTGTTTCTTGTGCTGATTGACGTTGCGTAGATTATGTGTCTTCTTCTTTGGCTTGGGAACGAAGAAATCTTCAAGTTGATCGACAGATTCAGGGACACCGTCCAAAGCTGACAAGAGCGCAAAGCATCGATCAAAGAGCTCTGGCGAAGCATTGCCTTCTTGTTTCTCCACAATGTGTCTAAGTGATGGTCAGTTGAGAGCCCCCTGAGTTACCGTGGGAAAAGAATCAGAGGCGACTTACTTGACTGCGTTGAAGGTAAAGTAGCGGATATCGTCGTATTGCTCCACATACTCTTCCACATATGCCTTGATCACATCCTCATTTTCGCTCTCGAATAATGAGGAAACAATCTCTCGAAGAAAAGCTCGAGGGAATGTGTACTCGTCCTTGTCATAAAGGAACTCGCCCTCTGCCTTGAGTGTTTTCATGCATAAGGTCAATGCTGGGGTCGCCAACTCTTCATCCCGTAGAATAGTAACCAGAATTTTCTTGAACTCGGCAAATCGCTCCTTCAGCCATCCCACAATAAAAAGGTCTTTCTCAGATAGAGTCTTCTTGGCGATCAAGGAGCCTTGAGTGAGTAATCGGATAAAGATTCGGCACAAGACAACTGTAGAGAGCATGCTCTCCTGGCCCCCATTCTTAAAATCATTTGCAGTACTGAGCAAAATGGTGAGGTCGTTATAGTTCTTCCGTGACTCTAGAATCCCTTCTTCCATTGATAGAATTTTGGCGCTGGCATCTTCAGATTCATTGCTGGATGTTGACGATGCTCTCTTTCGTCGCTCAGTGGTGGACTTCTCATGAGTTGAAGAAGACCTCTTGCGCTTGAGGCGCTCTGCAGAGGCCGCTTTGGGCATCGTGGGTTTGCTAGAGGCGTATGATGATTCCGTTTAACGTAATTTGCGCAATAAAATGAACTGTCACTTTTTCCTTTTTTAAAAAGTCAAAGTCTCTACTTTGAGAAAAACTTACTTCATTCAAGTTCATGAAAGCAAAATATCGAAATCTTTCTTTGATCGTTGAAAATTTGACCAATCATATCCACTCATGAGCCAACGGCAAAATGTCGGCTCCAGATCTAAATCTGATGTGTCCAGGTCACGTGATCTTGATTGTTGCCGAACTAGCGCGATAAAACCTCAACCTCACTTCCAGCTCTCCGATCAACGACAAGCCCCGGATACCCCCATCACGAACCATCTCACAATGGCGTCACGCTTGGCACGAAGCGCCGTCGGTATGTGAAGAAATCTCGAATCCCTCGAACCGAACCCAATTCGAACTCAATTGGCGCGCCGCCGACCCCTGCTGACTCCCTATATGTAGGCGCTCCCCTCCTCCGACCCGTCCTCGCCCGCCGAGCTGCCCCTGCCATCTCTGTTGCCGCCGCGCGATACAACAGCAATGTTCCCGCCGAGGACCCCAAGAAGAAGGCCCAGAGCATCATCGACGCTCTTCCCGGTAACAGTCTGCTCAGCAAGAGCGCTATCCTGAGCTCCGCCGCTGGTCTTTCCATCTACGCCATCTCCAGCGAGTACTACGTCATGAACGAGGAGACCATCATCGCCATCTCCCTTCTCTCCGTCTGGGGTGCCTTGATCAAGTACGGTGGCCCCGCCTACAAGGAGTGGGCTGAGGCGCAGAACAACAAGATCAAGAACATCCTCAACAGCGCCCGTGCCGACCACACCGAGGCCGTCAAGGGCCGCATTGAGGACGTCAAGCAGATGGGCAGCGTTGTTGAGATCACCAAGAACCTTTTCGAGGTTTCAAAGGTAATTCCAAAGTGTTCATTAGATGGTAGCTGGAAATATGGCTGATTATGGTTGTGTTTGTAGGAGACCGCCAAGCTTGAGGCTGAGGCTTTCGAGTTGGAGCAGAAGACTGCTCTTGCTGCTGAGGCTAAGGCCGTCCTTGACTCTTGGGTCCGATACGAAGGCCAGGTCAAGCAGCGACAGCAGAAGGAGCTCGCTCAGTCCGTTATCGCTAAGGTCCAGAAGGAGCTTGAGAACCCCAAGGTCCTTCAGCAGATCCTCCAGCAGAGTGTTGCTGATGTTGAGAGTACGTGTAGCCAATTATTGCCAATCAATGGCATTACTAACACTTTCCCCCAGAGATCGTTGCCTCCAAGGCCCAATAGATAATTACACGCCGCCGCTAGAGTCTCGGTCCCTAGATTCCACGGTTTTTCTTTGTACCCCTTCTGTGTCATAACAACACCTGTGCATTAGCCGAATCAATCAAGACCCTAGTTACTTCATTGTCGGAAAGCTGTTACCCGTGAGATCTTGGGAATTTTTGGGTCGATTGTGTTCAATTGGGTTTGTCGGAGCTTGTAAATTGCTCGTCGGAAAAGGTCGGGATCTCCGATATCGCCTATTCTCGGCGTATAGCAAATGTCCAAAACAAAACATTTCAGCACAACGACTTCGTCTTTCTTAGTGAATCATTTCAACAAATGCCCGCCGTACATTTTTGCAGTCTGTCGCAAATCGTCCCATTTGGTCATAATGCTTCATCATTACTCGAGGCTCTTTGATGAATATGGGTTGTTCTGAAACTATCGTGCATCTACACATGATTAATCATACATGGAAAAGACCAGCAACCTCCAACGCCAATTCCAAAGGCATATGCTCTATGCTTCCTAATATCTTTGTCCAAGAAAACCACCCCTTTTCATCAAACATTTAGGAAATAGTGATTAAGAAATGCGTAAAGCAGGAAACTTGACGGGAAATATTTAACGTGAATATTAGTAGATCGGTCTCGATTCCTCCCACTTTTTTACTTCAGGGGTTGCCTTTGTTGGCTCTGGCGACTCTAATTGAGAGTTAGGACCGAGTGATACCCGGCCGCTCCGTCGCCTCCTTGCACCGTCACCCGCAACAGGGCCAATCCACTCCCAAGCGCGGCCTACCTCGCCGCTTCTTCCTTCGCGCTGACTGGTTCGAACATTGCTGTTTTGTTCTACAACAGCTCGAACCCGCTGCCAGATGCGTTCTCGCTCAGACAATGAGTGAATAGCCCGGAGGACGTCATCTCTCAGGTTCGGTAAAAACAGCCAAGGATCATCGATGCCTTCTTCACCTAGCTCCTTCTGATTGGCAAGTCTACCCAGTACTAGGTCGACGAGAGTAGGAATTTGAGCAGTTGTAGCTACATGCTTCCGATATCGGGCTCGCAAGTAGAAAATAACGAGAATTAAAACGCTCAAAAGTCCAGCTGGGAATCGATATCTTGCCAGGCCGAGTCGGATTGATCGTTTGATCGTGCAGGTGTACGGAAGGCGAGCGAGAGACGAGGACGATAGCCATCTGTCTGAAAGATCGGAGGAATTGGACGATCTGTAGGGTCAATGGTGGATCTGGTTAGTCAATAGTCAGAAACAGTTGGAGCAATGAAATTGTCGCCAGATCGGTCATGAAAGTCCTGGGTTGTAAAGAGAGAAAGAACTTACGGTGCTGTCTCAATGATCTCGACCTCATCTCTAGCTGCGACCTCGCCAATGGCGGCAGCCCACAGTTCATCAAACTCCTCCTCATTGAGTCTCTTGGACCTCTTGCGGCTCACGGTCGCCTTAAGCTCGTGTTCAGCCATCGCAGGAGAATCCTCTTTCTTGCCATCCTCACCAACAAGCTCTCCGCACTCATACTGAGCTCGGCGATCTCTGAGCTCTTCAATAGCTCTGTCAGCTACAGCTTTGACGCGGCGCGCTTTCTCGCCATCCGGCTCACAAGTAGGTGGAAGTGGCACTAGCCCACCGAGGGACAATGGGTGCGGCTTGAGAATGAATCCATTCTCGCAACGAACCGAAAAGTCCTGGTAACAGTATGCGTGCGAAGGGCAAGGCTCGCACTGAGGCTCAATGAAAGGAACAAGAGCGTCGGGAACAGGAATGTCTGGTGAAATAAGTGACTTTGCTTGACCACCGACTTCGCAATAGCCGACCGCGATTTTCTCTTGACGATACCACGCAAGATAAGCTCCGAAAAGAGACATCAAGAGGACAAAGAGAGGCGCCTTAAAACCACCTCTTCGAGACACCTGTTGAGAAGGCTTGCGAGGCTCAATCTCCATTTCACCCCGACTTGCAGCTTGCTCCAACTCTAATTGCTCGTTGGGGGTGAACTCCTCGCCAGGTTCCAGTAAATCCGGAGTCGGCTCGCGGTATCTGGGAGTAGGCTCAACATCTTCTTCATAATCGTCCTTGTAGCCGTCTATCCTGCGCCGGGACGATGACTTTACACTTCTGATAGAGTCGCCGGCAGTTGTACGGCGGCGATTAGTTGGGGTTTTATGTTGAGCAGGCGAACTGCCACTCTGAAAAGGGTTGTCGTGAGTGAACACGCTTTCTTCGTGGTCGGGCAGGATTGTTTCTTCTTCTTGTGGTTCGTCTTTGATCTGTGGCGTGACTGTTCTCCTCGGTTGGCGAATGGAACGAGGGGCATCGTAGTTGTCGTGGTCGTCAGCGTGAGAAAGCGCACGGCTTACTGACCGTGTGCTGCGTTTGGTAGGACTCCTGGGCGCAGGAGTCGCTAGGACATCATCCTCAGCCTTAACACGTGCCGACGACTTTCGAGGAGACTTCGAACGCCTCTTGGTAGTCGACGGAGGTGGGAGATCGTAGTCGTCCCAGGTACCGTTATCTTCCGGACTGCCGGCATTCACGATTCCCATGCTTGATCTCTTAGCTCGGGCGCGCTGAGCCCGCAGCTTTGGCGCCTGAGCCAGTACATGATCTTCAACCAGCTCGACGAGCTGGGCCTTTTTGGCAGTCGCGGGGTACTCAACATTATGCGTGACGAGAATCGATCGCAGACGCGGGATAGTGACCGAACGTGGGTCAAAACCTTCTTCGAGGTAGTCCTCCATGTCGGCCATGGCGGCAGTCGCGATCAAGGAAGTGCGCGATAAGCGAAAAGAGTTTGGGAGCATAAACGAGGATGACGATGCGGGATGGTGTTCAGGCCGCAGTTACGAGACCGCCTATGCCTTGAGCTAGAGCTTGATGTAGGTGGGAGGAGAACAACAAAGAAGGGCCACGCAACACTCCTGATCTTCCACGATGGCTTTAGGTGACGATGAAGACAAGAGAAAATTGATCAAGTTTCGTCTTCACAAGAACAAACTGCAAAAAGGAGCAAATTTTAGTCGCAGTGGGGGAATGGATCGTGTGAAAAGGGCTTGTCTCTGGGTTGACAGGCGAATTGTTGATGACGGGCACGGGTGAGACCCTTGACGCAATGATAAACTCAGTAGCGCGGTTGTCTGTGGCAACTCAAATCAAGCTCGTGGTACAGAGGCACTCCCCTGTCACTTGACCCGCTGGATCTTCCACCCATGTAAGTGCAGCACCGCCACAGGTGCTATCAGCCACACAGAGCGCCACTTTTGTCCCGCGAGCTATCGAACGATTGAGGGACGATTTGTCGAAGATTTGGAGCTCCAAGTCATACTTTGACAAAGGGGTTGTGCTTAGCTCTTCGAATCTAGGGGATCAATTGATATCAAATACCAATGCTGGCTCGAAAATCTGTGCTGGGAAAGCCCGGCTTCGTCTGCCGGAGCTGTGTACGACAATATCAGTATCAGCTGCGCCGGGCTTCCACTTCGACACAGGACAATATCTATGATGTTGTATGTGTTGGTGGTGGGCCAGCAGGTCTGAGCTTACTGACAGCTCTTCGTGAGTTTTTCTTGCCCGCTCAATCGGCAAATAGCTAACAGACAGTAGGGGCTAATCCTCTAACCGCTGGTCTCCGAGTCGCCCTCATCGAAGCCCAGGACCTTTCCAAAACCAAGTCGTTCTCACTCCCCTTGACCCAATTCTCCAACCGATGCAGTTCTCTTACCCCTGCGTCGGCTCAATACCTCGACAAAATCGGCGCATGGCGACATCTACAGCGTGAACGTGTGCAGGACTACCAGGAGATGCAGGTTTGGGATGGAGTGACAGGTGCCCGCATAGAGTTCGACTGGCCACCCAGTACGACTGGAGACAAGACAATTGCCTACATGGCTGAAAATCTGAACTTGACATCCGGCCTGCTCAAGAGATTACAAGAACTCGGCGGAGTGGACGTCTTTGACAATACGAAAGTGGAGAGTATTGACCTGGGCAAGGAGACCGAAGAATTGGATCTGAGCGAATGGCCAGTCGTGCAGCTCTCGAGTGGCCAGTCACTGGCAGCACGACTTCTTGTTGGCGCGGATGGGGCAAACAGTCCAGTACGCACATTCGCCGGTATCAACAGCCGCGGATGGGACTATGGTAGACATGGCGTTGTCGCAACGCTCGAGCTTGAAGGTGAGGGCTGGGGCGGCCAGTTCAACAAGATTGCGTACCAGCGATTCTTGCCTACGGGTCCAGTTGCAATGCTCCCTATGCCTGGCAAATACGCTACGTTGGTCTGGTCTACTACACCTGAGAAGGCCGCCTTGCTCAAGAGTCTGAGCCCCAAGGACTTCATCGCTATGGTCAACGCCGCCTTCCGTTTGAGCCCCGTCGACATTGGTTTCATGCACACGCAGGACAATAACCAGGCAGAGGAGCTATCATGGCGCTTACAGCACACACACGTTGATGCGGACTCGCTTCCACAGACTGTTGTTGGAGTTCAGGAGGGGAGCATCGCATCTTTCCCTCTGAAGTTGCGCCATGCCGATACATACACTGGCGAACGTGTCGCACTTGTCGGCGATGCGGCGCACACTATTCACCCCTTGGCTGGTCAAGGCTTGAATCAGGGTCAGGGAGATGCCCAGAGCCTAGCCAAAACCATTGAGTATGCTGTCTCTCATGGCCAGGACCTTGGCACTCAGCTGTCTCTCGAGCCTTACAACAGCGAGCGCTATGCCGCCAATCACGTTATTCTTAACGTTTGCGATAAGCTTCATAAACTCTACTCTGTCGAGAGTGGCCCTCTTGTGCCGCTTCGTTCAGTTGGTCTTCGGGCTGTCAATGCTCTCGGCCCCCTGAAGAATTTCTTTATGGAGCAGGCTTCTGGCACTGGTACTAAGCTATTGTAGACTTCTGGCCAGACAAACCCTCAAACTCTCAAAGCATGTACTTTTGTCTGTAACATTAGAACTGTACATAATCACACCCAAGAATAATGGAAATAAGATGATTCATTGCTATTTCAGAACACGCATCACCTCTACATAGCTTCTCGCTCGAGCACACGACGTTTGTGGGAGTATTTACCGTGGTCTCCCTATCAGCTATGATTACAAACAAAAGAAACCCATTCTAACCTTCTTTCTTTTCGAAAATGCTTTACCTATCGACCTCACCTACGATTGTATTAGCATAATTTCTCAGTAAACGAAAGGGAGCAAACTTACCGAACACCAGATCCATAGTACCAATAACCGCTACAGCATCAGCCAGCAAGTGACCCTTGGAGACGTGATCGAAGCCACCCAAGTGGGCAAAACCAGGAGCGCGAATGTGGCATCGGTATGGTCGCTCGCTACCATCAGAAACGACGTACACACCCATCTCACCCTTAGGGGCCTCGATGGCAGAGTAGGTCTCACCAGGAGGAACGGCGTAGCCCTTGGTGTAGAGCAAGAAGTGGTGAATAAGAGCCTCCATGTTCTCCTTCATGGCGGATCGAGGAGGAGGAGAGACCTTGTAGTCCTCAACACGGACGGGGCCTGCGGGCATCTTGTTGAGGCACTGGTGGATAATGCGGAGAGACTGTCGAAACTCCTCCATTCGGCAAAGGTATCGGTCGTAGCAGTCACCGTTAGTTCCAACGGGAACGTCGAACTCAACCTGGTCGTAGGCATCATAGGGCTGGTTCTTTCGGACATCGAAAGGAACACCAGAACCTCGAAGCATAACACCAGTGAAGGAAAGGTTCAGGGCCTCAGTGGCGGGAACAACACCAACACCCCTCAATCGCTCAATCCAGATACGGTTATCAGTCAACATCTCCTCGGTCTCGTCGATTCGGTCGCCGAATTGGGTAGCCCACTGGTAAATATCGTCGAGAAGGCCAACGGGGATATCCTGATGAACACCACCGGGCCGAACGTAAGCAGCGTGGAGACGGGCGCCGGAAACACGCTCGTAGAATTCCTGGAACATGTCAATTGCTGATTTTCTTCAACTCCTCATGATCCACCTACCATGAGCTTCTCACGCTCTTCGAAACCCCACAGGAAAGGCGTCAAAGCACCAACATCCATAGCGTGTGAGAGAACAGACATCAGGTGGTTAAGAATACGGGTGATCTCGCCAAACAGAGTTCGGATAAACTTGGCTCGCTCAGGGATTTCGACGTTGAGAAGCTTCTCAACAGCAAGAGAGAAGCATTGCTCGTTGGTCATCATAGAGACGTAATCAAGTCGATCAAAGTAAGGCAGAGCCTGGAGATATGTCTTGTACTCGATCAACTTCTCAGTACCTCGGTGCAGCAGACCGACGTGGGGGTCGGCTCGGACGATCTCTTCACCATTGAGCTCGAGAATCAAACGCAACACGCCGTGGGCAGCGGGATGCTGAGGACCAAAGTTGACGGTATAATGTCGAACCTTTCGGTCCTGGACGGAGTTCTCGCGCGACTTTCGGGTACCGGCTTTTCGGGGCTTGGAGAGGCCGTAGGCATCTTGGGCGGATGAGAAGTCTTCGTCAACGGGGACAAGTCTGGTGCCGACGGGCTCGACAGCGGCGGCGTACTTTCGCAGGCAGGTCGTCGAGAAAGGGCGGGCAGCGAATGTTGCTGGCCGCATGCACAGGCTCTTGGCGCCTCGGCTGGCGAGTCGGAGGGAAGCCATTGTGTGAAGAGCAGAGAGGGAACGGCCGTTAGTGAGACGAGATGTGTAGAGTCTCCCGAGAGGGCCTCTGGCTCGAGGTCAATGGCAGGTTGATGGAGGGGAATTCGCCTTCGTGATAGTGGCCGTCATCTCCCGCGGTCCGGGGATCTGTGTCGAAACCTGGGAGCTTTGCTCTGGGTGGTGGGCCGGACTATTATTCTTGCGGGAAGATTAGCCAATCAGAAATCAACCATTACTCGTTGATTTTTCTACTCCGCGAGCAACATCTGTCGCCAATTGCATCACATCACTCGGCCGAGTTGCTGTAATTGAGAAAAGTCATGCTGCAAACTTTTACTGGGTTCTATCTTGTATGGTTCAAGGCGTTTCGATAATATGTATTGAGACTTTGTATTCTTCTTATGAAATAAAACTTTCACTTTTTGAATAACCCGAGCTTATCGCTGCAACTTCCCGCTAAGAATCAAAGCCGTCATCTATTCATCAGGCCCAAGACGAGGAATTCTGGATTCGCCTCAGCTAACAATTTCTGAATAAGTGAGAACAGTAACTAATACAAGGCATTTTCTATGAGTTAATCTTGACTGCGAGGCGAAGACTGAGTAAACTTGGTGGCACATCCAGCAAGACGTGCATAATAGCCATAAGGTGTTCGTTACACAATCTTGGAGCCATAAGTGAAGTTGGTCTTGCTTCTCTGTATTTTTTTTATTTTATTTTTTTATTTCTTTTTTAAATCTCAGAGATGAAACTTCGCATGCCTAACCCAAACAACGCCTATATGCTGACCCCATTAAATGCGCCAATATTGTATAACTAATATCAAGTTGAACAAGCGTCCTGATTGATATGATAAACGACTCTGCATTATAAGTATAATGTCTTCAGTGTCAGGTCTGCATCTTCCTTAACTCCTATTCAGCTATAGTTCGCTCCTCAACAGACCGAACAGAACCTCGTCTAGTATTTCCCCATTCTTGCAAACAGCACCTCTCCTAGTGCCTTCTTCAACGAGCCCAGACTTCCTTAGTACATTCTGGCTTGCTTTATTGCCCCCATTTGCACACGCCTCAATCCTGTTTAACTCAGGCCATGTTTCGAAACACCATCGTATGAGCGCCTTGGCAGCTTCAGTTGCATAGCCTTTTCCCCAGGCTGTCTCAGCCAACCAGTAGCCCATCTCCCATGTGCGGAAATAGACGTCGTTCTTGGCCATCATGCCTATAGTGCCTACAAAGACCGGTTCCGACGAAGGGTTCTCTGTGGTGTTGGCCTTGACAAAGATGCCGCAGTGTTGACCAGCACCGTCAAAGTTGTTGGCTACGTTGTTGATAAAAGACTCTGCATGGGCCAGTGTGTAAGGGGATGGGAAACCATCGCGCATGTTTTTGGAGACAGACTTGTTGTCAGCGGCTTGAGACATGACTTCTGCATCGGACGGATAGAATCGACGGAGGATGAGACGTTGCGTTTCGAGTATTTTTGCTCCCGGCTCCTCGCATGTTGAGGAAGTTGCTGTTAACTTTCTTGTGCTGGCCATGGTGGGTGCTCCTTGAAGTAGATAGCAAGTTTGTTTGTGATGTTTCAAACAAGAATACCAAGTCAGAAATAGTGTAACATAGGCTTAGTTCGTCAGTCCAGAAAGTGAGAGGTTTCCAGCTTCGTTGGTATTTAAATCAAATGTACCTGCCGATATGACAACTTCAGTGACTCACGACGGCGATGCCTCAAAAAGGGGGCTATTGTTGCCGTACTCGCCGATTTACAAAGGTCCCTACACGCGGCTAGTGTCTTACAGGCAGTTGCATTAGATGCCGCCAGGAAGTGGAGGTTACGGCACGTCCACAAATAGAAGTATAATCGAACGATAAGCAAGGCACCTGGGTTACTATACTGGGTGAAAGATACCACAGGTAGACTTTAAGTGTGTTAATTAAGTAAATTCTTACACAAATTCGACAAGTTGTTGACCTTTTATATGTAACGACAATAGTAAATCGCATCTATAGCTACCGTACCTTGTTTTATGATGCCGCTCGATGTGCAAAGCAACCCAGTAGAGAGTTACAAATGAATCAAGTTGGATGGAAGAGGATCATCTCAAGGCTCTTCCGTATTTTCCACTGACAACTACAGATTAATTAGTGTTTCAGCACCTGCTGGTTGATATAATAAGTAATATTTAATTATTGTAACCATTATTATATGCTAAGCGCCATGACTTCTCCTAGATGAACAAGACAATGGCCCGTTTTGACGAGATCCCAGTCATACAAAAAAGGGCTCTCGTATGGCCGCCTTTCACCAAGACCAATCAAGCTGAACCTTATGCCCTCGCCGCGCCAAGTTGAATGCCTTATATCGAATATCAAACCGGGCAAAACAGAGCATGCCGCTATGGAAGACCCATGCTAGCTTATTGGTATCCTTTGTTTCCTATATGATCCACTCCGTGTCAGGTCTCTACCGATCCCTTGATGCCGAAATCTATATCTCTTCTTCTCCCTCACTGCCGAGCCGCAGGAGCATTAAGGTATACATTTAGACCATAGGGGCCATTGTTTTTGCAAACGCCGCGACCAAGATCGAATGATGTAGGCCGTTATGAACAAAGGGGGAATAAAGAAAAAAAAAGACAATGCCTCACTGTCCCCTTGGGGAAGAAAACGCCGCAAACAGACCAAAACGAACAATAATAGACTTTTAATAAACCCCTCGCCATGCCCCAGAAGATGCAACGAACGACATCCCGCTTTGTAGTGATGAACAGTGCTTTTGTTAGGAAATGTGAAGAACGACCAAAAGGTCATATTGTGTTACTGACAAAGGAAATTATGGCTATGGCCGAATTGTGAAAGATGGAATTTGGAACCAACCCCGAAAACACCAACAAAATCAGATCAAGGTCTCCGAGCAATATTAACACCTGGATTGACGAAGGCTCTGTATGCAATGTCGCATAGACGTCGCACGACGTTGGTAGTTCCACCTGTGACCTGAGACTCATCGTAAATGAACTTGGATGCAACTGAGAGTCTGTTCTTGGGGTCACTCTCGTCGGCATGTTGAGGAGCAGCGTTGCCGTAAGGAGAATCGAAGTGGGGAGCAAGTTCTCGAACAACTGCAATCGAGTAGAGAACATCACGGTTCTCACGACCATCAAGTAGATAGCGCATTCTCGAAAGCATTTCCTCCCTAGACTTGGCGGCAGATGGACCATTGGGATCCTCCCGCGTACGCACGAACTCAGCCAGGCTGTACCAGAAATCAAATTGTCGAGTTCGGTAACTGTCAGGGTCTTGCATTGGTGGGCAGAGTGGGTTGACTGATAGATAGTCTCCACACAAAAGTGCCTCAACAACTCGGACACGGTTTTGGGTCTCTTTCGCATCACCATCGTGCGGCAGTGTTGTGGTACTGATAGCAGAAGCTGCAGTGGGAGTGTCGTATGCTGCTCGCGCAAGCTCCCACACAAGGCGCGTCTCAAGAATACCAGAGTAAGCCATCTGGGTTTGATCGTTGACCTTTACAGCCTCCAAAGCCTTGAGAAAAGATGCCATTAATTCGACGAGACGCTGGCTTCTAGGAAACGAAGGTGATCCATTTTCTGTAAAGTGGTACCACCCGGATTCGAAGAAAGAGGCAAGCCCAGGTGCGTACATTTCATGATACACCTTGGTGATTTCATTGTGAGTCCCCTCAGTGTGGGCTATGTTCTGGGACGTAGGAACTGTGCCCAGGAGATCGATAATTTCATCAATCTTCATTTTGTTGGCTGTCAGAAACGCGCGTAAGCAGATGTTCTCAACAGCAGCGCAGCAAACGACGAACAAGGGTGAAATCAATAGTAGGGGGCGCCACCTCTAAGATGTTGGTTGTTGTCAGCAAGAGGCCTTTGTTCAACCGCTCTAGAGCTTTCTGCGTTTGAGGTTGACGAGAATCCTTGAAGGGCTGGGTCGATTGCGGGCGGATACTCGTATGTCGACTCAGATTTGACAGGAGGAGATGCAACGTTGGAAAAACTCGAGTCGTAGCTAAGCGAGGTAATGGACGGGTTAGGGCTTGCTGTTGTCGCGTGAGCTGTTGCGTACGAGCTTGGGAGCATAGACGGCTGGCTGCCGTATGAGTTCGTAGGTCGAGCGGTAAGGGCAGGGTTGGGCGCTATCGACGAGGGGACAGTTGAAGGCACAGAGCTTGGAACTGTGGGGGGAGTTCTTTGGCTGGGCGCGGGCTGGATATTAGAAGATGATTGTCCACCCGCTTGTTGTCTGAAAATGGGGTCGTAACCGAGACACTCGCGCTTCGACTTTTTACAGTTGTTGCAAGTCGGGTGTGTTTCGTCGCACTGGGAGATGTTAGAGCTGTGTTGGGCGGGGTGCTATCTCCACCAAAAAGTAGAGAGGGGGTTTGTGCAGCTGCCTAGGAGATGCACGGTAGCTGTGACCAATGACAAGCTAAGCAGAGCTCCCAAAACCTCGAGGAGCTTAGACTCCAAGGCAGTCCATTTACTGGAGCGCTCTGAGGTTGGGATTGGGCGATCGCGATACAAGCATTACTTGGGAGAATCTGGGGCGATGAGTGCTACGTGAACGTGAGTCTTGCTCGTTTCTGTGGCCTCCTGGCAAACGAGCAAGTGTGCGAGAAGCTGCAAGCTTGATGCAGCACAGGGTTTTGGATAACCTGCTTTAAGCTCACCACCTGCGACACGTATCTGAAGCCCGCCTTCTTCCCAAGTCATCTTCTTGATTCGTCGCGTCCCATCTCGTGTTTCAAGGTCACGAGCTGCACAAGGGGAGATAAGTATGAAATCATAGCTCACCTTGATACGACGTTTTCTGCAAGTCAGACAGCCTGTTTTTGTCCGACGTTTAATCTCCTACAGGTCACAGTCAGCTTCAATCTTGCCAAACCCTTGGCTAGCTATGGCCTGTCGGAACGAGACCCCTAACCAAGCTTCAACACACCTTCTTCGGTCCCCTATGGCCCAGAAGCCGCGGATCGTGAGGAATAGCATAACGAGCCATAGAATCGGGAAGACCGTAGCTTGTCATTGGCATGCCTTGGTGGCTATAGAATGGCACACCGCCTGACGTGGGCGCCATATGCATGTTCATTGGCATGCCCTGCGGATTCGACACCGGAGGCCCATGTGGGTTTTCGATTGTCCTCATGCTAGGCAGCGGCATACTGACAGGCATAGGACTCGGTCTGTATGGCTCCGTTGCTTGACTCGTGACTACAGGATAAGGGGCATATTGGGCGGCTGATGGGCCTGCCGAGGACGCATAAGGCATCGAGGAGCCCGGATAGCTCACATGCTGACCATGAGGTAGTCCTGGATGCTGGTTGGACATTTCCGAGTTGGACGTGGGTGTCGAAGCAGCCTCGGGGGCCCTGCTGTCGCCGTTCTGCTGAGGAACCGCGGGCGGAGCGGCAGGAGCAGCAGGAGCCGAGGCTGGCGTGAGTGTCGGCACGGAAGAAGAGACGGCGAATGGTTCGGATTCGGAGGATGCGGCGGGTGTAGAGGTGGGAACTAGAGCGGTCGTCGAGGCGGTCGGGCGGTCCGCAGCCGTGAACGGCACTGGAGCAAGCTCGGTGATGGGCGGGAGTGTCGTCTCGGCAGCAGCAGTGTTGAGAGGTCCAGCACTCGTGTTGGAAGCTGGAGGAGCGGTGACAGATGTAACTATGGGAGCTAGAGAAGGAGACGTCGATGTCGGAGTAGAAATTGTAGGATTATTGGGAGAGTCACCGTGACTCTGCCCATGGTCTTCTTGAGCCATGTTGTTTTTTAATTAGAAATTTTTATGGAGCCTCAAAGCAAAGTCAGGAAGAAGGACAGGCGACCAGGGGGACGCGACCCTGGGTCACGGAGGAAGTCGAAGTGCTGGCGCTGGGCAAGGAAGATCAAGAGGAGCCAAAGCCAGGGCGTGGCAGGGGGAGCAAAGGCGTGCAAGAGGGGCAGAACCCAGGACCAGGGGTCGCGACACGATGCGACGGCGATGCAACTGCCACTGAGAGCAAAGCAAGAGTCGCGATGATGGACAGGGCCAAGACCATCAACAGGTGACGCGCTGGAGGAGGAGGAGCAGCAGCGACAACAGCACAGCGAAGAGGAAGATCGCAAGACCCAGGGGTCCAAGAGGCGGGATCGGAAGCGAGGCTCAGAGGCTGAGCTCCAAGATCGGGGGCAAACGGGAAATAGAGTTGGCTCGTCCTGTCCCTTCGTCGTCGTCGTCAAGCATCGAAGATACTATACTGTACAGTACAATACTATACAACAGAATAACTGGATCGCCCCCTGCCCGGTTGCCGCGTGGTAGTGGTAGTGGTGGGAGTGGTGACCGTGGTGGTGGTGTTGGTGTTGGCCGCCGGGTCCCAGTAAATTGAAAAGTTCTAGTGGAGACGGGCCGGGCTTTGTAGGCCGATGCCCATACGGGATGATCGATACTCGACAAACAAGCGCCGCGCGAACTTGGTCCAGTGAGCGACCTGCTTTACTCTACTTGTAGAACTTATGCAACAGACGGACGGGTATGTAAACGAAATGGAGGCGAGGTATTTGCCCAGCAGAGCAGTTGGCAGAGGCAGGTGCAAAGGAGTCTCGCTTATTGAAAAGGCTGTTTGATGAGACGCTCAAGGTCGGATGCGAACAAACAAGCAGTCGGCCTTCAAAGTTTTGAAAATTGGAGTTGATGGTTGTATCATTCCCATTTTGGTTCCTAGCATAACGCATCAATCGAGCAATCAGCTAAACGGAAGAATAGTAGCTCCAGCTAGAGCCTCCTTGGAGCTGGAAGCAGGTGCATTAGCGGCGCATCGCCCGTCGAACGACAGATCTTGGCCAATCTCAAGCTTCAAAGCTTTACCTTGTATAAACTTCACACAGACATGGTTACTCCATACTCTCAATCTCATGGATATAGAAATATCACATACATATGCCCATCATCTCAAGTCGGCTACTACCTACTAACGAGAATTTCTTTTTCGCGTTTCTCCTTTACTCGCTTGGCTAGACCCCTAGTATCCAGCAATTCTGGAAGCACTATAGAAGCTGTTACCATGCCCAAGCTCTGTGGAATACCTAACCCTGTTAATGAGGCGCAATACCGGGCAAGGTATCCGTATAGCATGGATGATTAGGTTAGCTTGGCAGAGATTCCGCGAGGATTAGTTGGCTGTATTTATACCCATATATGTATTGTTATGCAATACATTTCAAAGAGACTGGCCAGCATATTGCTGAGCACCTGAGGAGAGGGATAAGACTTGTCTGTTGCGAGCAGCCATAATCCGTATTCTCTTCGGCCCGCCTTGCATCTTCAATTTAGCAGATGATCAAGTACAATGCAAACACCGATTAGGGTTCAAGGCTTCATCTGCACAGGCGCATGCAAGAGTTATGTCCGTGTACCGTACTCTGCATGTGGTGTGGCCTGGGCAATCCTGGCTTGAGTTCGATACAAGGCGGCAACTGGCTTGATTGTGTGCCACTCATGGCCTATCGGGTGCAAGGTTCTCGTCCCGTCGTAGACTCCAACGCTCAATACACCCCCCTATTCTTTGTGATGAGCATGAGCTCAAGTTGAAAAGTTCCGACTGAGATTAACGCTTGGGCTAGACCTGGATAGTCAATCTTCAGTGTAGGTCATCTGGGGCCTAGCTGTCGTTATCCATTTGTTGTCTCTTCTCTCCTTGTATAGATAGGCAGCCAACCACTGCACTGATCTGCGTATCCGTATCTCATCCATCCCTCAATCGAATGCTGAGAGCTTCTCCAAAAATGTCAAAGTCAAATCCCCGCAAGCCACTGACCCCACAACACATCCCTAAGAGACTTGACTTTCCTTCCAAGTCATTCTATAGGAGCCACTAATGTCAGGTACCAACCAGACGGTGCTCGCTGGCTCGAACCCAACCAGCAAGTGGAAGGAACCAAAGCTAACTGCCGTCCCTCCCTTACCTTTCCCTTCTCTGTTTCCATTCGTTCGTTGTTCTTTGGGCTGAGTCATACGTAGTCCAAAATAAATCTATCCACTCCATGGTTTGAATTTAGATTTGCACTTGAATTCTTATTATATCATACTTCAAACCTAGCTACTCCGACCGACTCCGTACTCTGCAAGATTGCCTTTCGTCACAGTCGTCATTTTTACCTACAAAAAGTATCCTTTATTTCCTTTAGCCGGCCGTTTCTCACAAACAGGTACCCGCCGGCTAGGCCACGGTGAATTGCAAATCTTGCCGTTGTCCACACTCCCCAATCTTAAGATATCCAATATCATCTCCCCCCTCTTCCAATTTCAGCAAATCCGAAACCCCTGCCCTCTGTGCCACTTCGCCTTGTTCCATCTCCAGGAGATAGTTACCAAACTGGGAGCCAGAAACCTCAAAACAGGCACTGGTCATGAACGCACCATAGCACAACAAGACGAGTAAGTGTCTTCAGCCGTCAGTTTGTTCGGTCATGTTTTAGCTTTCTGGCCGTACCCGTACACGATATAGATGCCTTCGCCCAACGGCAAGGTCCCGACGTAAGCGAGACGAGCCTCTCCACAGCTTCAAGCCATGGTTCGCTAATGAACCATCCACCCACATGGATCCCACCCAACTGCAGCGGATCCTCCTCAGACCTGGTCTATTCCTGCACTGTGCTATACCTATAGGTACAAAGTGGCAACGGCACTGGCAATCACCCACCCACCTCCTCTCTGTAAAGGCAAACATCCCGGCTGACAGACGGCGACGGGAAGCAAGCGAGCGAAGGCCGTCAAGCAAGGGGGGATGGAGGGAGGGTGTCTGGCCAACCGGCTTTTCTTTCCTGCGCATCTCACTATCTCGCCTTACTGGTCGCCTGCCTGCTCCCTCTCTCGCCTACCATTAGTTCCCGGATTCCTGGAACGCTGACCTTAAACTTGACCACTGCTTGCTGGCTCAGTCCTTAGCCCCTCCCCTCCCTACCTCCATGTGCAGAGGAGCTGTAGCGGTATCCACGATCCAGTTTTTTCTCTCCACACCGGTTGTCAATACAATAGCGGTCGGCTCTTGGGTCGCTTGTCCTCGGAGGCGTTCCAATGAGGCTTCTCTTGCTTTCTTCCTTACTCCGTTCACTGAGTGGGAACAGATATTTGAGGCTAAAGGGGGCATCCAATGTGCATATGATACATGATATAGTACATGATATGATACATATTCGGCCGGGGAAAAGCCCCGAGCAATAGCATGGTACTGCCAGACAACTCACGCCAATGACGAGTCCTCAGAAGCAGTTCGAATTTGAACAGCAAAGCAGGATCTCAGGCTTAGCCAACACGAGCTCGTTTTCTCTTACTCGCTGGCAGAGGATGATGTCTCCTCATTTATCTGCAGCCTTTGAGCAATGGCTTCACCTCGGGCCAGTTTACGCCCGATGCCTTGCCTGTAGCGCCGTCCGCCCCCAGCAGTAGCCAAGGACTCGTGTGACATCTTTCAATCTCCATCTCATATGTCCATGCCAAGCAGCGTCGTCCGCTCTGTTCACATCGCTTCTGACAAGCATTGGCACTCCTCACATCGCCCCATGAGCGGGTGTGCTCGTCCGGCTTGCCCACATGATCCGCCGTTAGCTCTGTTGGGCGGCTCTCAAGCGCCGACATAGCTGAGCCTCCAAACAACTGCCAAACGTCGTGCCATAACACTGGCTTGTCTATTTTTGCGAGTGTCTCCCCGACACGGCGCATCTCGCCGGGCTTCCGCAAGCCGTGGAATGAAAGTAGGGGCGAGCAGAAACGATCACCCCAGATGCGCGTGATGGAAGGAGGTTCACCATTGAAGTGATGATTATACGACTCTTCGATGTATATGCCTAGCTTCTGGAGCGTCGTCGCCACCAGTCGATCTCCCCACGTCTCGGTCATGGACTCGGCGTATGCTTCTTGTACGATGCCCGGGTGTTCGAACAAACGGCGCATCGCCTCTCCGGATATCAGGATTCCAGATCCTCCGTGCCCGAAACGCGCCTTGTAATCGCCTACCGCGTTACCAACATACTGGGGCTTGCGGTAGTCAACGTGACCCATGAGTAGCTCCAGAGAAGGTCGTATTAAGAAAGTGTCGTCATCTAAGATGATGTACCACTTTTTGCCTGGCAACTGATGATATATCATCTCCATGCCCATGATAAACTGCCTCTGTTAGCGGTGTGGAGAGAAGTTGTTAGAGAGACAAACTTTTAGCGCATCAAGCTCCCAGCCATAACTTTGCCCAATCTTCAGAGCTTCTTCTTCGTCTCCTACTTGGAGCTTTGCCTGGAGACTTGTGTACTTTACCAGCCTGGGGTAATCATCCACCTTGCCTCTGATCTTGGTCTCCATAACTCTCTTAATAGCATCGTGCACCGTCACGCCTATCAGCTTTGCATCTGTCTGATTCACTGTCGTCCAATCTCCTACAACTAGGAAACTCTCGCCTTCTTTTCCTAAGAAACCCCCTGTTGCCTCAAAGGCAGCGAGCTGCTCAGGCACTCGGTGACGCGTTCCATACCCGGTTTTGATGAGGTAGCCCACTTCGTTCTTGAGATCTACGGCGTACCGTGGCGATTTCCATAACCAAGCGTCTCGGTTTGTTGCTGCGCCACGCAGAAAATTAAAGAAGCGCGAGATGTTGAAGACAAAAGCCAGGCGGATGGCTGAATCGTGAGGAAGGATAGAATAAATGATGAAGGTGGAGATGAGAATAAGAATGAAGATGGACCGTAGGCGACGTCTCGTGCGTCGAGAAATGACCACCATCGCGGCTATTGATTGTGTTATATGAGAGGTGGAAAAGGCGTCTGAGTTATGAGATTTGTCTGACGGCGTCTGATCTCAACAGGAACCAATGAAACGATAAAAAATTCCTTCTCGGGCTCAACATCCTAATGTGGAAAGAAAGAAAGAAAGAGAGATCTTGATTCAGGATATTAGGCTTCTCATATGGGTTGAGGTATTCGCCAGTTGCTTCTTTAGGACCCAAGCGAAGGATTGACGATGCTGCTCCCTTGTCGCGAAGACCCGCAGCCTGGTGGTCAAGCTCAGCCCCAGTGGAAAATATACTGAGTCTCTTATTATGTGAAACAGAGACTGCCTTACAAATAAAAATGCTCTCTTGACAAAGAGAAAAATGTATAAAACGAAGTGTAACAGGGAACGCGATCAACGAGGTTGGTGAAGTCGTCATCCCCAATCTGTTAGCTGTTGCATATTATGCTGACTCATTGATTGTTGAACTGTGATTGGCCACTAGACATTAAAGTAATATCGTTTTGGATACGATTGCAGATGTAATTGGGAGGTTAGAAACTAAGATGTGATAGAAATATTCAAATGATGGCTTCAAATTATACTTGGGCAACATGTCCAGCACGAGGAACAAGCAATCTCCTACTTAAATACGTTGTTGTCTGTTAATTGTGTATTCACTACTGCCATAGATAAGAATGATAGCCCCTATCTATAAATGACCTTCTTTCGTCATCAACTCCCAGGTATCCAATGCTGGATATTTTTCAAATACTGTTAAAAGCACCATGGAATCTAACTGTATAGATAATCCCGAAACTGTCTTGCTTGAAACGCCAACCCTATGCAAATAGTTAGGAGAGAAAGAAAAATAGCCCCCCTTCATCAACTCTGTAAAGCGTAACAGAACTGGCACATCAGAGCATCACGCACAATCCTTCATCTTCACGTACTGGATAAACCTCATCAGGATCCTAAGCATCCTTATCGAGCTCGTAAAATAGCAGATACACCTCTCTCTGCATGCCCAAGACCTCGCTGGTCTTTGCCTCCTTGACCTTTTCGTCGTTGACGCGCCACCATTTGTCTGTTGCTGACTTTCGTTTCCTTGATCGTTTTGCGACGTTTGATGTCACAGACTTGGGTGGTAACGAACTGCTATTTGTTTGCTTGGGCGATGTAAGCTTGGAGAGAGCTGACTTCGTAGAGGCGGCCACAGAACGAAGACTACTGGTTTCCGGATCCTTCTGTTTACCAATTGCTGGTAAGCTCACCGAGCCTCGTAGGTCTGAAGGGACACTCCTAGGTGGGGCCGGCAGAGATTCCAGAGAAGGCGTCGAGTCACCAGACGAGCCTGAGAGGAGGTCAGGCGTAGAGATTGCCGGACTGTGCGTCGGTCTTCCTCCCATGATAGGGGTACCTATGGGTGTCGGTGTCTTGCTAAAAGCTTCCGATGGTTGGAAGGTATTCGGGTTTGAGAAGGGTGCGGCAACGTTCTGTCGTCGGAATGCTTCGTAATGACCACTGTTGTGTCCGCCACGGTGAGTAACCAGCCCGAGCAGCTTGTATCTCTTTTGGTCCATCAAACCACCAAGAGGCAGCTGTTCGGGAAAGACCACCTTGGCCGAGTTCTTCTGTGTTATTTGGCCCACATCATAGATGGAGCGGGAGAGGTGAATAGCCAATATCTTTGGAAATATGGACATTCGAGTGGTCTTTGCGATCCTCCTCTTGGGCGCAAAGCGAATATCGCCAAGCTCGACATCCTCTGGGGGATTCTCGGGATCTGTGTCAATGGCATGCTGGAGCTTATCGATGCTTTCCTGGGCTTGCGCCTTGAAACTCTCGGACGTGGACTTGGCCATCTCGGCCTCTAAATCTGCCTTTGTCTGCATCAATCGACACATTTCACATTTGAAGTCATCAATGTACTCGGTTTTGAAGATGCCGTCAAAGCATGCATTCAACGTGGTGCCTGAGACCTGAGGCACAGCCAAAGTTATAGTGCAGAAGGTCTCTTCCCTGGGCTTAGTCTTGTAGCGACAGGTCTGACACTCGAGATGCGACTCATACTTTCCTTCCATTGGGAAGCCCTCTTCAATTTCTATCGGCAATTGGCCATTGTCCTGGGGAATCTCGGTTTCCTCGGATGGTTCGATAGCAGAGTCGTTGTCGCCATTGGCAGTGGGCTGCTGCTCTGGTGAGGATTCGTCGCCGTCCTTACCATTGTCTTGACTATCCAGCGTGTTCTCGACACTCGGTGTACTTTGGGTAGGAAACAGACCGCGTCTCCGCATGTGTAGTCTTGCTCGTTGACCGCAGTGATACTCGTCCTTGAGGCGCTCAGCCACGATTTGCAGAAACTCTTGCGCATCTTGTTGTTGGCGGCTGATCCTTTGCTTGAACGCCGCCTCCAAAACCTTGACAAACTGGAACGGCGATATGGACTTCTTGTAAATGGGGCGCTCATTAAGCGCATCCAGCATCTCTTTCAGTCCTTGTGTGACCAGTCCTTCTTGCAGGCCCTGTAGCTTCCATTGGGCAATCTGTTTGCCCTCTGGCTGGACAAGACTAGCATATACTGCCGGGTCTTCGATACGGCGGCGGTGCGTTTCGCGAATCAGATATATGCGCAACTCTCCTAAGCCGGCAAGGGCTTGGAGAACCGAATTGATAAAGCAGTCATTGGCTTGGTTTCTCAAACCGACTATAGACTTTTTCTTGGAGCTCGTGGCGTCGTGATCGATGGAGAAATTTGGTGCGAAAACATATATGAGCGCTGCGGCAGCAAGAGAGGCACCAGCAGCGTAGGACACTACTGAGGCCGATTTCTCGGGCATTTTCAACAGTGGCCGACAAAGGGTTCGGAAGGGTCGGGATTAAGAATCCGGGGGGAGAGGAACGATGAGGGATACGCTCGTGTCGGACAGATTAAACGGTCAAACGGTCACAACAGGGCGTGGCTTGCGAGCATGTCTTTGTGTGGGCGGCGATTTCGCGACAGAGGCTTTTCTCTTTCTGATCGGGAACTTATTAGCTCTCGGTGGTAGCGTGTAGGTTTTTGCCGCAGGGCGACATGGCAGTGGAGGAACAAAATCTGGAGTTTTTCGGATCGCGAGACTTCGAAAGAGCGCACGGAGAGCGAGTATGTAACAGAAACCGAGATAGTCTGTTCTCTTCAGCGTTAGGAAAGCTTATGGAGAAACAATCCACATCCGCTAACCGCAGACTCAACGGCCGGGGGAAACACGGGGATTTTTGGCGTTGCGATGGCGGGTTTTCTGGAAGAAAGCGAAGCCGGAGCGTGCTCCACCTCGAAAATTTCTACCCCATTCGGGCAGGTGAACAGGGTAGACACCCCACTGAACATGCCCATAACCCCGCCTGGGGAGAGGCTAGACAGGGCATTGGGGACAGCTTTCGGTGGGATTTGGCTCTGAACCCCCAATCTTTTGAGCTGCTGACCACCATTTTTGATACCCTTGAGGCTGTATAAGCTACCCGGGAGCCTCACAATTGATGGATGTTTGAGCTGCGTTTCCGATGCATCCGTAGACGATTGGTTTGGACTTTGCGGGGTTTGTTTTCAGCTGGATAAACTTGACTTGGAGTTCGGATTTAATTATCTACCGAGCTCGAATAGGTATTTTCTGAATGTTCTTCAACTTGTGATGTGTTCATCCGCTCAGGTGGTCCAACCATGACAGTCGAATCAAGATGAAGGCTGATTAACATGAGATTGAACGGGAAACAAAGACTTACTATATCGTCAATATGATGATGGAAAAACCGGGTATCGAAGAACGAATACATCAAGTAGCATCGGTCGCAGTCTCCTTCACAATTTCACCCTCCCAATCCCATAAACTCCCATTCAAGGCACCTCGTCTCACCCATGTCGTCACAAGCTCCCTGGGCATCTCATCGCCATAGAACGATGTTGGCACATCATACAGCTCAACTGTCATCCGTTCCTTCGGATCGAATTCCTTCCAACGTGATGTCTTGACGCCCCTCCACACAAAAGCCGCGTCTAGAAGGGTAATTTTGATATCCCGGTCCAACCGCATGTCATCTCGTGGTAATTTGTGAAAATACTCCTCCTTGATGTTGGCTGCCTCGACATTCACTGATCGAGCGAGGATGACATGCTCAAGCTGCTGCTGCGTCGCGATGTACCACCATAGCCAATGATTATCAAGTGGTGCCCCAAATATTGTAAGGCGTTTGAGATCCGGCCATAGACCCCAGACATCAGTAGGAGCATCTTGAAGGCTCAGTGACGGGTAATCGCCAAGACAGACAAATTCCTCTAGTTTATCAAGCCGTTCGAACCCCTCGCGAAGAGTCCTCCTGACATTCAGGTGGTCATCCAGTGGATCCAAACTCTGGAATGGCATGTGGACAATCAGCCTTCGCAGTGTACCGCATATTTCGCAGAATAGCTCCCGCACCCAAGCTGCTGTGGGTTGGTCGTCCAACTTGTCTTTAAATGGGGCTAGATAGAGCGATGTGATATTCCGCAGTGGCAATATAGGCGGGAGGCTTGGTACAGAGTGAGGAAGACAGAGCAACAGCTGCGCAAGGCGTCGACTAGTATCAATGTAGAGGCATCGCTCTCGAAGTAGCCGACTAGCTAACTTGTATGTATCGCGCGAAACCAGTGTCAGAGAAAGTAATGTCTTTGTCGAAATATGTGACGCTGGGATTAATGCCAGTGGATTCGAAGGTAAGACAGCCTCTATAATGTGATAGAGTAGTTCGGGAGGTAATGAGCGCTGCAAACCTTGGTGCATCTCTAAAGACATGACTGCCGATTGATTGATGAATGCGGTTAAACTTATATGTTGAATATGGGAAGAAGTTAATTACTGAACAGACTTACAATTCGGAGCTTAACTTAATGGTTTACATGTGCCTTATCTCTCATCATGACCCCAGATAAGCTCGACTTCACGAACGCCAATCAGAAGCTGGCATCTACGACAACCTCACTTACACCGTCAGGTGCTTTGCGCGACAGACTGAATCATGAGGTATTTGGCCTGGACTGAGCAGTTGAACAGTTTCCCTTCTTCGATCACAGTGGTAGCGACATAGTACACGACACTGGCACAACTCCATGAACACGTGAACAATCATGTATCAATCAGATAGTGACCTTGCCGGTTCTTTACCACAATTTCAAACTCAAACCTTTCTCACCACCATCACCAGTCTCTTCTCCAGACCAAACTGGCACTTATCACACTGCTGTATCGACGAATCATCCTACAAACGCAATCATGAGTGCTCTGACTAACACTCAGGATGCCCCCCAGCATACTAAATTTCCCTACACTCCCTAAGGAGACCATTCTGAAAATCCTCACCGAGATCACCCAAAAGAGTAAGAGCTAGATTCACTTACTCACCCATGGTGGATCTGTCTGCGGTGAAGACTTCAGTGACTATTGCACCCTCATCTACACTCGAGGTCATACGGATTGTGATGGGGTGTTTGGACAGGGGCAGATCGAAAGTATCACCCTCCAACACAAATGTATCTACAAGGCACCTGTCATCGACGGTGAGATCGACTTTTTGACGCCCGCAAACCTGAGCTGGAAGCTAGCTCTCGAAAAGAATCGAGTGCTTCATCAACTTCATGTTTATGATAGATATCTCAATCCCGATCTTGTCGAGCCAATGCGAGCCCTCTGGAGTCGACACAACAACCCACATCCGGACCTCGAAGCATTTCGCTGTGACACTGGACATCTTCTTGTTCTCACCGGCGATATCATGGATGATCTTCCCTTCGCCGTTGATGTTTAAGGTGGAATTGACAGTCCTAACCGTAATGCCTATGTCAAGAAGCTGCATGCAAACGATAATCGTCTCGAGTGCCAACGACGAGGCCACATCATGATTTGTTCTTTTCCCTGGATGGTAAAGGACGAACTACCCGATGAAATGGAAGAGCATGAGTACCTCATCTCTCATGTCCCTGATAGACTCGATGCCAATATGCACGTCGCATTCCATCACGCCTTGTTTCACAGACGAGATGCGGATCGTCTGGCTCTTCTTCAGCTGGACTGGTCCCTCATGACTGGCCTCGAGAGCCTTTTTCTTGATCTCTCAGGACCTTGGACCGATGGTCCCAACGCGGAACTCAAGTCCTTCTGTGTTAAGATGGGAAAGCATCTGAAGCTCAAGACACTTGTTGTTCTTGGCCTTCCGGTGAGACAGGATTACTGCAAATTAGGCAAGGACTTTTGGATTAAAACCCTCGAGAACCAGGAGTATGTCCCAAGCACTGTCGTCAAAAGCCATGTCGAAGACAGCGACGAAAGTGACGAAGGTGATGATGATGATAGTGATGACGATGATAGTGATGACGAACTAGTTGGATTCCCAACATATATCTATTGGTTGAAGGAGTGTCTTCAGCCCGGCAGCCAGGTCCATTCTGTGATGCAGTATGAATCAGAGACAGAGCTGTAATGGTCCTGAAGATTCCATCTTTTCCATCCAAGACGATGACGCCCCAGCCGAGACCGCCGATGATGATTTCTCGGATACATCTCGTGTCCATTGGCCCAACCTCATTGTCTCCCCTATCAGGCCTTGACGCCTAACCATAGTCCCCAGATGCCCCTGCCAAGAACCCAGAGTTCTTGCGAACACCCCCTTATCTATTTGATTTTGATCTGTTAAACAGACTTTAGTTGGCTAGGTAGTTGCTTTTGTGCAGATAAATTGATAAAGCAAGATATATAGCCTCCTGACTAGAAGAAAACTTCTGACCAGGGATCAAGTGCCGAAAGACTAGTCTAAAGGTCAACTAGTCCATAGTGAATTTGCTAGAGCTTATACAAAATTTACCTATATCTCTTTGCCACTTAGTATAGGAATTACAAGTTTTCTTGCCTCCCCCAGACACCTTTTGCCAACCCTAAATAAAACGTGAACATTATGTGACAGGCGCGTGAGTCTAATGTAGTAAATTGAAAGATATCACAGAAGGGAATCTTGGCCTTCTCCTTCTCGTCTCACCCTGTAATCCGTAAACAAATCTCCATTTCCCATCCTAGCTATCCATCCGAAAGGCTCCTGAACTCTATTCCCTTTCTTTACACATACTGCTCGTGCGCCAAACAAGAAATAACACCCATCCTTTCCCAGAGTAAAGACTTCCTAAATGCAAGAAAAGTTGGCCCTGTACGAGCACATACACGAGTAACCGACTTCAACTACTTTCTACCTGCACTCTCATAATTATAGTCAACACTCCACAGAGGATCCCACACAACCGACTTTTTCGTCGGACTTTCAGCCGAATCCTCCCGTTGCACAGCGTTCCGAGGCTGCTAACTGGCCGTCAGCAACCCATCATTATGGTCCAAGAAGGGTGTCGACGTTTCGTACCTCGTCCGCTTTGGCGCTGCCGCCTTGGTTTGATGACTCGCCCGAAGGAGACTTGCTCGGACTCTCTGTTTGCTCGCTCTTTTGCCCTTCTGCCAGAGCCTTCTGTGCTAGGCTCGCATTGGCTGCCGTGAGAAGTCCCCCGTGCGTAGGGCTTGTGCCGGATGGTGTGTCGGTGGGATGCGCTCGGAGTGAGTTGGTCTCGCTAGCCAAAGCACTATTCTTTAACAAAGCCGTGCCTCCAAGCTGAAACGGCAGGGCTTTCTTGGAGCCGGTACTGCTACGCCTACTCTCAAGACTCTTGGATAAAGTCTTGTTAATACCTTCAATACTAGTGACGCTATCCCGACTCTTACCCTTTCCACCCGTAGCATGAGTGTGAATGTTGGCTGTCGCTTCCACGGTATTAGCCGCAACAGTTGACTTGCCCATTCCAGGCGTCGAGGGGGCGCCAGGTTTGTCTTCGAAAGCATCGATCAGATACCAGCGTAAACCATCCGACAACTGGAAGGGGTTATCGTTCTCCTCATCGTTGATCGAATCTGTCTCGCTGCTCGGCTGGAGACTCTTTGAAAGGTCGACGACACGCTCTTGGATCCGTGAGATACGGGCAACAAGCCATTCTCGGTGACGCAAGCGATGGGCATCTTGCTCGCGCAGGAAGTAATGTGGGAAGCCCACATTGAAAGCGGCCCACGCACCGGCTTGCTGATTGCGCGTAGGGAGAAACAAAGCCAGATCGCCCTCCTTAAAGTGCTTGAACGCAATCTTCTCGTGCGAATCCTTTTGCAGAAGGTGTGCCTTCTCCCTGTAGGATCGGGCTTCCCTCTGCCACTTACGAGCCATGTGCTCTACTTCCTTGATCCTGCGATATACAGTCTCGGAGAAAAGCTCCATGTCAAAGTTGCCAATCTTGTTCATGAAAGCTTCGTATTTCTCATTTTCGGCCTGCAGGTCTGAGTTGTTAAGCCAGTATAGGAGTTCGAGATCAGTGCTATCGCCCAAGACACGGCTTAGAATTCCTGACTTGCGTAGGGACGAACCAGGGTCAGAGGAGTCGTTGGGGTTCTGAGCATTTCTTTCGGATCGTGGAATCTTAGTAACGGTCATATCTCCATCTTTCCTGGTAATGGCAAATCCTACGCGCTCCAACAGCCGGCACATACGATCGTTTTGAGAGTAGAGGCGTTGTGTAAGATCCTTAGTCTTCTCGTCTCGGTGCTCATACTGGCTGTTCAAGTTAGACATCTTGCCCTGGAGGGACTCGGCTTTCTCTTGGAACATGCGAAGCTCTTCCTCCAGACTACCGACGTGGGACTGTTTGGAGGCCACTTCTTCGGTCAAGGCCATGACCTTTTTCTCTTCTTCTTCCAGCCTTGTCTGCAGAGCTTCGGGCCCAGTTTCGCCATCACTGAGCTTGGCACGCAACTCGGTAAGTTGCTCTCTACCATCTGCGAGCTCTTGTTCAAGTGCGATCACCTTTGCTTTCTCCTCAGCCAAGTTCTCACGCAAATGAACCGCTTTCATTTCGCCTTCGGATAGTTTAGTTTCCTTCTCAGCAAGCTGTTCCCGGAGTTCCGCAATGGTTGCCGTGAAGTGTTCAGCCTTAGTTTTTAGTAAATCAATGTCTGCCTCCGAGTTTCGGGACTTCTCAACGAGCGTTCCGGCTTGCGTAAGTAGCACATCTGAAAGATCTACAAAGTTGTCTGGGACAGCAGCCTCGGGCAGCAGCTCAGTAAACAGTCTTTTCAGGGCCTGCCAATGATCACCTAGAGCCTCCTCAGCAACACTCAATTTCCTCGAGACGTCCTGGGTTTCCTCTTGTGCAGACTGAACTTGTTGTTCAAGGGCCTCTTGTTGTTCTCTTTGAATTCGGGTTTCCTTGCGAAGGAACTCGACTTGCCCTTGCGCTTTGAGGGCATCATCTTGTCGCTGCTTGTTGATTTGCTCCAACTCGGCCTCTAGCTCCTCCACTCGTACAACATATCCGGCTTTCTCGTGCTGCCTTGATTCGTCGAACTGTTCGATTTCGTCTTCAGTATCCTCCAACCGTGCTCTGAGAGTCTTGATTTCATTCTCTAGGTTCTTGCGCTCTTCGACGAATTCGCGTTCGAGGGCCTCCATATTCTCGAGTAGATCTTGTTTGGTAGTGTTAACTTCCGCAATCTGACCTTTCAAGTCTTCATGCTGGCCCTTCAAGTCTTCGTGCTGACCTTTGATGTTCTCATGATGATCCGATTGCGCTGTGAGTTCTTGCTGGAGTCGACTAGACCGCTGTTTCTCTTCTCGCAGTTCGTTTTCCAGCTGAGTGATACGCCGCATCAAGGGGTCGATACCGTCCGAAGAGCGTCTACGGTCATCAAAGCGGCTCGATCTGATAGATGATCCAGAGTTGCCTCTCTCGCGTTGCTGGGGACCCTGAGGCTGGAAGAGATTTCCAGGGCGGCTGGCTTGGCTCTGTCGATGAAGCAAATCCTCTAGACGGCGGACTCGGCTCTCGGCCGTCTTCAATTTGTTTTCTAATTTACCTTTATCCTCCTGGAGTGACTGTAGTAAATCATCATCGCCTCGAATCATGAGACCACTCCTGCCAAGGGCCACTTCATGAATACTTCCGTTCTTGAACGCCTTAAGTCGTTTGGATTGCTGCTTTGTTGGATTGTCAAGCTCTTGTACAAGCTTCAACACATCATCCAATACACTCTGATCAACAGGTTGCTCTTGCAACAACTGCACGAAATCTGTTAAGTCGTCTTTGGTCAAAGCTGGCCATGGTTTGTCTTCCCCAAGCAAATTGACCTCCAGGCCCATGACATTTGTGTCCAGATCTGGACCATACATGCTGCCAATCATTTTTTGCCACTTCCGCCGTCGCTTGGACTCTTCATCCTGAAACAATGCCATCTCGTTTGCTAGAGTAGACGAGTCCGTCTTGACTTTATCAACCCATTCGCGTCGTCGAACTGCTTCTGAGACGAAAGCTGCGTACATATAAGGCAGCTGGTGAATGAGACGAAGATAATCAAATGTCGTCATGTCATCTACCGACTGATTTAATACGTTGATTTGACTTTTGACGTTGTTATGAAGAGATGTTATTTCCGTAACGTAACGCATGAATTTCGCTGATTCCGAAGCAACAGAATTTCGCGCGTCTGTTGCATAGTGAAGTAGCTCATCCATCTCTTTGACTCGCTTTTTCAGCGTTGGTACCAAGTGTTCGGTGTGCACTGAAGCCGTTTTGGAAGCTTGCGCTACATCTCGTTGCGTATTGCCATATCCAAGTGCTGCCCGGTAGTCGGAGTCCATCTGCTTCACTACTGCCTCGATATCTTCAAGGAGCTGTGCGGAATCTGTGCTGTGGCCAAGAGCAGATCGGCTCATGAGCTTCTCGAAGTCGGCAATCAGCGATTCTAAGCTTCTATACATCTGAGATGCCGTGTTGTTGAGTTGATTGGCCTTGTCGCTGAACCTTCGATGGGCTGTCGGGGCAAGTTTTCCCGCCTTCCTTGCGGTATCGAGTTCGATAAGGTCTTCCAAAGTTGGGTTCGACTTCTTGGTCTCTTGTCGAGTCATAAACTTGACCATCAAAGGCGAGATCGGGGTATTTCTGGCGAGATCGAGATATTGCTCCCAATTTTCAACCAGAGTCCTGTGCTCTTCCAGTGCAGGCGTTACCCATTTCTTCAGGTCGTTGTATTTGGGCTCTATGGTCTTGATGCTGATTTCGAGATTCGCAACAGCCGCATCCAAGCACTTGATGATAACGTCTATCTCGCTGTACAGTGCCAGAGTTGTTGTGTTCATCTGTCCGCAGTCCTCAACCAAATGCATCGCCCAATTTCGACGCTCCTTGTATAGCTCTTGCCATGATGATATTGACTGTACATCATCGATCGTGTTCGGCGCATTCGGGATGACGTACCGCTTCGGAGCCGGGACTGGGGTGATGAGGTTCGCATTCCCTGGGGAACTTATTCGGATATCGTATATGAACATCTCTTTCTGGGCTATGGTCAGAAAAGGCATATCTCTTACTGAGTAACGAACCTCTGTATGTAGGCTTGTGAATTTGACGGTACGGCCATGAGGCGTCAAGGCGACAATATACTGTGGTGGAATCGAGGTTTTCCTGGAGACCCAGGCCTTGAGATCATCGAGGCTACAGCTGAGTTAGTTGCCAACATCTCATTGTCATCTTGACGAGGCTTACATGGAGAACTGTGCGGTATCGACCTCCAGCCGCAGGCCCGTATGTGCTATCAACACCTGGAGAGCCATCCCGAGACATCTCCTGTTGGAAAAACTGCCGCAATGCGCGGCCGACGGAAAAGAAGGGGGCACTTCAGTAAAGATATGGTTTCTGATCACCAGAGCTATAATGGGCACCTGGTGTTGAATGAGTTATAGTAATATCTTCGCGTGACGAAAGATCCACCGATTATCCATGGGCCATAGGAGCCTGGTCTTAGCGTGACGCTGTGACCGGTGCCTTGTGACAAGCAGCATTTAATTGGCGGGAACGCCACACCTACCAAGCCACAGCTCCAGCCACAATCAGTAACAAGCTTGTCGCCAAGGTCAACGCGTTTTGCGATACAAGGCATGGCCCAGCAGGAACTCCAGTAGAAAAGCTATATCGAATTTCAGAATTACTATGGCAGACTCAAATGACGTCCCGATGTTGGACGGGCATGAAGAAATGTCCCATCTTCCCATCTCAGAAGATGAAGCCAAGATCCTCGAACTATATGATCGAATACAAGAGCTTCGACTTGAAATCGCTATTATAAACGCACAGAAGTCACATCAGCCAGGTCTGTTTCTCTCAGAGATAAGCTCGCAGTATATGCTTACGGTTCTTAGAGGAAACCTCATCCCTTACCGCCGAAGAAACAGAAAAAGCCCAATCAGAACTGATGGAGTCGAGAGCGCAGTATATCCTGAGAAATGAAGTAACAGAGGCTGTTATGACGGCGAACCCAATTCTCAGAGCCGTTCATGGCGGCCCAGAAGCAGCTCTTGTTGAGCGGTCCGTGTATTTGTTCGTACGCGTATGTGCTATCAACTAACATTCACCAGTGAACTCTTGACCTACATTGAGCGTAGAGACGATACCTCCATATCAGTTGCCACACAGGCCGCTGAAACGAACAAGGTGATAAGCGTGTTGACAAATGTACAAAGTAATACGCTGCGCAAGTCTCGAGAGAACGTCACTTCAGCGGCTGAGATGCTTGAGTTAGCAGAACAAGTCAAGCTGAAGAAGAGAGTGCCTCCGAACTCAAAGATGATGCAAGAGCAGGAGGAACTCGAGGCGGACGTCAAGGCAAGCAAACAGAGATGGAGAGTGATGAAAGGCGTAGCCAGTGGTATAATAGTTGGTAGTGGCATTGATTGGGTGCATGATGATGAACTACAAGATGTTGTACTTGATCCCGAGGAGGAGGAATGATGATTCCACGAGAAAATCAACTCTATTCAGGCTCTAAAAAAACTCACTGCTTTTTCGAACGCCCTTCACTTCAAGGTGACCAGTTCCTGAAAGTACTCCATGATCTGGCCATGCGTCGAGGAAATTGAGCCTCGTCCCGTCCCGTCGGGAAAGAAAAGATACGTATCCCCGTTGTTGGATCGGGGCTCGCGAGATCCCGTCGTGGCGACGATGCGTGATCTGGTAGAGAAGAGCAGGGAAATTCTAAACGACAGGACAGAGTCATAGTTCGCTACTAGCGATGCGCGATCACGGCTGTCCCTGGAACATCATGCAGGTGCCAGGTTTCAAGCCTCTCATCTCGACCTCATCCTCATCTCCAACTTCATCAATTCGCCAGTCTTGTCGGATCGAGTGATTCTCAAGACTCCACCATGAGCTCCCGATAAGGCTTAGTAGATATGGGAGCTATGACCACTGGGCGGTAAATGCACGTGATATGTCTTGGCGATTTCGAGATGGAAAATGGATGGAGGTGAGAAACAACGGAAACGAAGTGAATGGGGGAGGGCTGCGTATCCCAAAAAAACGTGCCGTCGAAATCACTCTGATGCCCTCCCTGAATTTGCCTTAATTTGGACCAGATCAGCGCGCCGCAAAGGCGCGTATTTAATCACTAGCGTCGTCGCGTGTTGGGCAGCGACCAAGGAGTACTGAATCTAGGATGCTTTCCAGTTTCCAGTTCTGATATAGAGATTGGAGAAAATAGGTACCTTGGATACATTAAGAGTACTTGGAAGAAAGGTCTGTAGTTCATTAAAAATGGAGTAATCCTCTTGCTCTTCTTAAGTACCTAGTAATTACTGTTTCTTATACCTTTCTTTATTCGTTTACGGCAAGCTTCCTTGGTTTTGATTTTGCTCACCTTGGAGGAGGGCACCTCGAACGCGGGTCCGATTTCACCGATTCAAAGTCAGAGATAGGCTAAGAGCAACAAGTCAGCAGAGCACAGCTTGAAAAGCAGGTGGCAGGAAACTAAAAGGGGCGAGCAGAAAAAAAAACAGTCAAGAAGAGCGAGTGGAGAGGGACACAGAGAATGAATTTGGGCGGGGGGACGCTCAGCTCCCTGTTCTCAACTTTGGCGTGAGCCCAGAGTTGGCTCGGCGTCTAGGTACAGCACAGTATCAGCTGCCAGGAGGACTACATGACCACCCAAAGACAGGTGTGTCGCGTACCCGCTGTAAGTCTCTACTGGTACCTCTCCCATGAGCCACTTACGGCTTGCCTTTGCACCTTGTTTTGGCCCGGCGCGACCAAACAAGTTCGGCAAAGCCGTCTGCGCCGGGCGCTTTTGCTTGTCTCTCTCTTTCTGCCTGTGTCTGTCTGTTGCTACCCCAATTACACCAAGGCTCCTCGCGCGACTCTTGGTACCCGCCATGCCCGCAGATGAAGTATGCGTCATGAGGTATCCGGCGTCATCTCTATTTCTCGCTTGTCTTGGCCTGTCCTTTTTGCTTGTTGCAATCTGACTGAGCAAAGGGACGGAGTATCACTATCCATTTTTAGCGTGTGGTATTAGCACTGATCACCAATGATGCACATATGATCGTAGTCTCTCTTATCCGTAGATTTGCTTGAGCGAAAATTCCAGGTGATACACTGGCACAGTACCAAACCTTTCTTTGCGGAGCTAGGATCGTATGGTGTCCCTGCACAATCTGTTGAGTAGTATGAACCTCTGCAGCCTCTAACATGGCAACTTATAGCCCAGGCTATGTGACCTGAAGATCAAGGAGTACTAAGTACCTGTGTTGGCAGTCAGCTTCAGCTGTGCTGAGCGTGGTATACTCGCGGAGATTGGGAAGGAGAACAGTCGGAATATTATCTCCTTGCCTTGGAGGGTAACAAGCAGAGGAGCAGTGGAAGGGATGGATGGATGTAAGGATGCATAGAATCACAGCCCTGACAGGGTACTCATCTACAAGTACCTGTACAAGAAAATTTCGTATGACAATACATGGTCATCATATGGGGCTAAAGTACCGCCCCTGCGGTGGGTTACAAGTTACTCCAACTTTCAATGGGAGTGGTCTAGAACTGACGAAGGACGTCCCCGCCGTTGATCAAAGAGTTGCCTGGTAACGGACATATGAGAAGTGAATATCGAAGTTGAGGCAGTATCAATGCTATGTGTAAAGAAGGTAACCATAGGGAACCAAGCCGTTTCGCGTGCTGTATCAACATGGTTTATCCCTTCTGGCTATCAGCAGAGTCGCGCAAGTGATACCATTGTCTCAAGGTAGTGCCAAACCAAGTGCGATGTACACATGGATGATGCATTGTATGGTATGTGTGAGGCAGTAGTCTCGGGACGGGGGTTAAGGACAGTGAAGTCGAAGATAGCCCGAGATTGTCTTTCGGATGGATAATAGCGATCCCTCCCAAGGCCGGATGATGCACGACCTGGGAATAATAGAGACAAACCCGGAAACGGGCCATTACAGTCGGTTGGCTGGTCTGATGCTGTAACAGTGTACTCAGTCAATCCTCATGAGGCGTCAACTGGAACCATTTCCCACCATTACGGCTTTGTCTCCAATAGTATGCAATGCCAGAGTGCAACACCGATACTCCCTTTCTAGACTGATGTGTGAGTTTGGCTCCGCCAGGGCAGCGCCGAACTTTGAGTTAGCAATGCATTTTACAATGTATCAACCAACCTCCCGCCTTCAAATATCGCCCTATTGTACCATGATTGGAGAGCGCCACTTTTATGGCGACAATCAAACAATGACATGCTGTAAGTAGTACGGTTTTGGCTGTAGTCCTGAACAGGTTGAACACTCCCCTCTTAGTCTCCCTCAACTTCTCAAGGAGGCTCAAGCTCAACTAATCTATCAACAGTCAAGCCAACTGATACTCATTCTCTAACACTAGGACGAAAGCAAAAGGGGACGAAGAACCGTGGCGTATTAGTGAAGAAGTAACAACACGCCATGGCAAGCTGAGCATGTTTGTGGTTTGTGTTCCTCATGCTTGTGCAAAGTGCTTGATATTCACTACGCCGAGCAAAGATATTCTACTAAACGTAATTGCACTTGGCAACAACCACCGAAGAAAAGAAAAAGGTCCCAACAGGAGGAGGGTGCAAGTAGCGTCGTGTCGAGCGAGACTCCAAGTCCGATTGAGTGTGATGAAGCATAGCGGCCTCAAAGAGGTGGAGGTGGACGGCATGGACGGAGACTACTGAGAGAAAGCCGAAAGAAAGAACGACTCGGCGGGGTGGAGGCAGGATCACGACACAGGGGAAGGCACCTAGGCAAAGTTACAGCAGGTATCACCCAGGAGAACGCGAACCCGCTGGATTGAGCCCGTTGACTGGGCAGGCACAGAGCAGAGTCAAAGTGTCTATTGGGTGTGGTTATTTTAGGAGTGATCAGAGTAAGAGGTAAGGTAAGAGGTACCGTAATCAAAGGCAGAGGGGCTTGCGAATGTCTCCTAAAGCAACAAGTATACTGTGCGGATTACTACAGTCATGCTGCGGTACAAGACCTTTGTACTGTACCTCGGCGCGGCGAGCTGCGTACGGCTTGTACCCGTACAGTACCAGACAATGACCGCCTGCTTACACGCTGGTGAGTGGTCAGAGGCAGGTGTTTCTGGGGAGCTTAGATGAGGGGGCGAGGACGGAGTCCTGGTCATTTCACCCCAGTAGCAGGCCCAGAGGCAGAAAATGGCCCAAGGCAGGTGCGGTACAGGTACAGACTACAGTCTGCTGCGACAGTACTAGTGCAGCGCGCGGGCGGGCAAGCTCCCAAGCACCGCAGAGAGCAATGGGCACCGCACCCAATTTTTTTTCCCTTTCTCCCAAGGAAGGGGGGCACCAAGAGCTCACCCAGGCCAGCCCACTGCATAACAGTCCAAGTGTGGTAGCTGGGCAGGTCGCGTTCCCTCCCCACGCACAATCACTCCCCCATAGTAAAAAGGCTGCCTTGGCCCTCCCCATACATTCTCTCTCCCTCTCTTTTCTCCCATACAATTCTCCCACCCAAAATCGCCTCTACACTCAACACGCTTCTGCACGTCTTTGTGGTGAGTATTGTCCTGTCCTCTCTATCATGCACCACACCACCACCATAAAATATATTGTTTTTACTTTCTGGTGTTGCGCCTATCTTGCCGCAAAGTTTTGATTAGACTTCGCTATCGATTCTTGTCGAAACGTTGCTCCAGACTGGGCTGCATCGCGTCTATTCTTGCGCATCATCTTGATCTTGAAACTTTGTCTCGCGACAGCTCTATAAGATAGCTAACGGAAGCGCATCACAGACCACGTCAACACCACAAATTACTTTCCCCCAAGTTCACCTCCCAGGTACGCGCAAACCCCCTAGAAGCCTTTTTCTTCTTGAACGACGCGAGTTTTGACGCGTTGGGAGGCGCAATTGCGTTTGCGCCTCGCCACCTTGTCCATCATCTCTCATACCAAGCTCAGCTCCAAGCTTCATGGAGCTACCCCTCATTATCACTGACCTCGCGTTCAACACTGCGAAGTCTCCATCAACTCCTTTTGATTGTTTCTGTCGCACGCATGATCCATAAGGTCACCAACTTACACCCGTTTGCAGAAATCATTCAAAATGCCCAAGGCTGCTGCTGGTAAGCGCGGTAAGGCCGAGAAGACCAAGCGCGGCAAGAAGGGTAAGTCTTCACTCATCCATGGGCTTTTCAATGTCCACATGCTTTGCCATGCACTGCGTGCCCCATCGCGTTCCGCACTGAACACAGCTGACCGACTTAGACCCCAACGCCCCCAAGCGTGGCCTCTCCGCCTACATGTTCTTCGCCAACGAGCAGCGTGAGAACGTCCGTGAGGAGAACCCTGGTATCTCTTTCGGTCAAGTCGGCAAGCTCCTCGGTGAGCGATGGAAGGCTCTTAACGAGAAGCAACGTGCTCCTTATGAGGCCAAGGCTGCCGCTGACAAGAAGCGATACGAGGATGAGAAGCAGGCCTACAACGTGAGTTGATCTAGAACAACACTATAGCAGCAGCACACTAACGATGTCTGAAGGCCGACCAGGAGGAGGAAGAGTCTTCCTAGAAGGGAGATTATGAAGTCAAACCCAAGCGTCGCTCGGCAAAGAAATCTGAATCGGACTAGTCCCAGCACTTCAGCGCCGCGTTGCAGGTTCTTCTGCTCGAGTGGACCTTCTTCTTTGTATTTCGGTCTCGGCGGTGTTGTATGATGGCACAGGAAGAGTGCCTTGTTTTTTTATTAGGGATTCCAAGGGTTAAGGCCGTTCCGCATGTTATTATGATCTAGATTGCGGCCTATCGAGCTGCGAGCTCCCAATGAGAACCTGATCACGAACTCTGGAGGGTCCATGGGATGAGGAAACGAGATGCCTGTACAAGTAAGGGAGCTTCGGCATAAATAATCGAAACTATAAAACATCACAATACCTGCCACAAGCGTGTTCTATGTGCGAAAGATTTGGGGCAAAGCCTATTATATGCCTGAGACGATTGCGGCACCAACGCTTTGAAGGGGTCAAGCTTTGGACGGCGTCAAGAATTGAAGCTATGCGGGGATGTTCGAGATTGAGCTTTGACGTTATGCTTGGTGTTTAACCCAATCCATACTGGTGGAATGTATACATCAGGAGGTATTCAGGTGAAAGTTTGATATAAATTATTACACTTTACAGCCGCAAGACTCTAATGATTGGAGTTTAAGAAAAAGACTATCAAATGTTGATGACCCAATTATGATCTTAATAGTGTGTTAGCAGTCTTATCATGGATCAGTGTCGAAAGTGGCTTGTGTGGCTAGTGAGGCCACATTCAAGAAGCTCACTGGAGGTGACAGGTTGATACCCAACCTGCCATGGAACTCTAGAATCGGACGGAGAGAGGGCTCACCCAACCATCCAGAAAGCCTCACCTTCCACCCACCAACCCTCTTTGTACTCAGCATCATTCATCAGAGGAACCACGTTGTCGTCATTATAGAAAATGACCACTCGCATTGCGCAGCTCAGTCAGGCCATGTAAGTTGCAATGCTTACTCAACTTAAAAGTCGAGAGGAACGGATGTACCTCATGGGGGCTTTTGTTCATCCACGCACGTATGTACAATGAGTTCGCGAGTCGCAGAATGAAAGCGTGCAACATCGTGCAAACCATCGTGAGAACGTTTTCTTATCCTGAACCCGCCGAGCCTCATCGCCGGGATCCCCCACGGCCGTTGAAGTGGAGTACCTGACAATGTTGGATGAGCACGAGGTCATGCTAGGCCAGACCAGGTCGAAAGGGGACATGTACCCCAGCACAACCATCGTTTCAAGCGCTTCGAAGGCTATCCCCCAGCATCATCAGATTTCTCCACACAAGAGTCCACATCCCGCGGACGCACGTCAAGAGTCGCCGTCGTAGCAACACGTCGCACCTGGACTGTCAGTGGATAGTTCAGTTCAGTTGACCTCAGTTGCTCTGGCTCTCCTCCTCTAGGAATGGTCATCTTGACTCGACTGGTCAATGGTGCGAGTGCCCACCCAATCCTAATCTAGCTCAATTGCTGCCCCGAATCTCCTCATGCATTGGCCTGGCGTCATGTTAAAGCACGCTTGCTATCGTGGCAGCGCCTGAGAAGTTGGCTCAGGCCGGAGTGCAAGTGTCGAGTCGCCATACACACACCCAATGCCTCGTTCGTCAACATATTGGTTTCCTCTCGTTGGTGTATCTGCCTCGATGAAACCCAAGTTGATTGATATGCCGCTGCAGAGTTCGGAGAATGCGGGCGGCATCTGACCATCAGGTGGTCCAAGGCCCCGGATGTTGTGGCCTTAGCTGAGTCGAGTGCAGAACGACAACCTCAAGAGCCTCCCCGTCATTACGTGCATCAACCTGATGGGCTCACTCAAGGCTCAGTGTGAGAACCGTGCACCAACCACGTCAGGGAAGGCATTATGTATGGTTAGACTGGTGCGGGTGCACCTCTTCATGGTGTTGAACGAGTTGCGCGGATCGGATCACACGTTATTGACGGCCTGCAGATCGGCCGTCCCCTCCTCTTCTATTATTAACCAGATATCCTCTCTCAATTCTTGAATCTATTCTTGATTTCTCGCCTAATTCACTCTCTCATAATTGATCTCAACGTCGGTTATCTACATCATCTATCTACTTATCAAGCCATTCTGAAGAATCTCGATTGATACCCCGCCACTATTCACCTCTTCCTAGTCTCTCACCGCATGCAGTAGCCTCGATCGTCTAATTCTATCATCACAGCGACTGTCAAGGGTGTCACGCGGATAGAGTCGACTTGGAAAGGACATCAAATCAACAGTGGCCCACCTCGTTATGTGATGAAATAGACATTCTCTTCTGATACGCCTTTTGCCTCTCGTAATGGAGATGGTTCTAGGTGGCCAACTTGAGCTACACCTGCTCCAAGGTTGTTGCTTGGAGGCAGAAAGGGCAGACCGTGTTGCAGTTCAACTCCTGGGCCTTCGCAATGCCTTGGGCGAGGGCACCCATACCCATTTGCTGATGACGATGGAGGAGGTCAGCATCTCAGGCCAACTGCTCCGTGAACTAGCCGAGTACTCCAAAGTCCATTTCTCTCGAGTTCCGGTCGTGCTTGACTATCTCGAAATCCTTCTCCCTTGCCTATCAAGATCCCTACGAGATATCACGACCTATTACGAAGATAGGACTCTCACCAAGGAGAATCGTTGGCGGAAGATGTACCACTCGATGACCCAAGAAGCTGGGGGCCTTTCACTACCCCAGCGCTTTGTTCTTTACAATCGTTTTCTGTCCCTGTTACAGGAGTTGCTATTGAGGTTAGTTGCCAATACTCATCGAACACCCGTAAGAGCCCATAACTCACCGTTGCTAAGATCGCCAAATTTTGACTTCAACACTATGGAATGCACTCGATTACAGTTGATGCAACTCAGGGAAGCCAGAGGCATTCGTAAGTAGGAGGCTGGCGATACTATGCCAATGCTAACATAAAAAGCCCCTCCCCCTATTCGCCTTAATTCAACAATTCGTCCCGATTCTGTGCTAGATGATGATTCGGGCATCGCGACTGTTAGTACATATTGCCAAAAGATAAAATATAATCACTTCTGACTATGGTCATAGAATATTCATTGGGCTGAGAAAATCTTCTCATTACCCCTTCCCTCCCGGACTCCGCTTAAGCATCAGCAGTCGTAAGTCCAGGATGAAAACGATCAATCAGGTTACTTCCTAACAAGATAATTAGGTCCAAGGCATATGGCCCACACGCCCCCTGGAGTCAAGCTCGCATGCCAAGTGATGCAAGAATTCTTTTTATTCGGTAGTCTCAGGATATCAATGACACACGAGCGTTCTACTAACGATGCTAGTTCTTTCAATGAGCGCCAGATAACCCTGATAGTATATCAGAGTGGTCGAGACAGATGCCCATATTTCCTGTTGCGAACGTTCCACATGGGAACTCCATGGTTTTCGCTTCGTGGTGCACATGAACTATGTGTCGAACGCAATGGGAGCAGCCTTCAGTTCTGGCGATGGAGTTCCAGTGAACAATGCCCCAAGATGTGGGCCAATCTTTGCTTCATGACGTGGGAAGGTAAGTTGCTACTAGCAAATACGAACGGCAAATTTAGTTGCTAACGTTCTAGAATTGGTGCTCGTGTACTGCTGCTTTTTGTCTTTCAAGACGCGCAATAGTCTTACAGTACAGGTTGCAAATGAAGATCTCACTCTTTGGGGTGAACGAAAACTGTTCCAGGCGTAAGCATTGCCCCTGATTATCCTCCACACAGCCATACTCATAGTAACAGTCGAATCGTGGACGACGGTTTCATGCATTCTCTCATTGTATATGAGGACTATATGACAAAGGGTATTCGCCTCCACGCTGCAGTCTGGGACGGTGACCTACGCCAATGTCCTGTCTGGACAGCTTTCAGTAAGCCCGCGTCAAGTCCCGAGTCGTCTCATAGGCAGTGGACTAACTATTGTCCTCCAGTCACACATCAGTCAGCCTCCCCTAAATGGATGAAGAGAGTCAGCAAGACCAGAGTCCGACTTGCTGGCATTCAACTCTACGTCTTTTGCCAGGAATACCGGCAGCAGAACCAACGAATCAACCGTGCAGGAGCCTTCGAGATCCGATTCGTGAGTGAAGAAGGTTCGTTGCCCTTCCTCGTAATAACACACCATCTAACAATACATACTCAGCGGCCAAGCGTTTCAAGGAGCTCTTCTCTCCTGCGCTCATCGACGAGAGCACCGCCACAGAGTCGACACAGACTTAAGTCAACAACAGTGTTTCCGCTGTACGACACAAACTCGGCACTTATAATTTCTCCTGTGAATACTTGTACTCCCCCCTTGTTCCATTACATGTAGCCTTTCGCCTTGATTCATGTTTTTTCTAGCGACGGCGTCCCACGAGAGAAATAACGGTTTGACGATTTACGAATAACGATTTCCCTATTTTTAATAATAAAGTTGAAGTCGAGGGCCACAGATTGTACGATACATCACAGCCATTTGCGAGTTCGCAGGCCCTACTCACGTTTCCATACAACGATATCAAGAATGTTTTCATGTCGTGGCATTAACTCATGCTACTGTGCCCCTATTCCTCAGCACACATCCACAGTTTTCCAATTGTTTAGTTAGTAGTTTCAAGAACGCTCAGTTTGTCAGCATTGTACGCGATAACAATTTCAGAAACTCAAAATTATCTTGTGTTTGCATCCACCTCTTGTGTTCCCCAATTTCAACACCCATCATGACGTATCTCGTTTAGGTCTTGACATCAGGCTCGTCACGGCCGACGTGCTCTTTAAACTTGAGAAGCTCAGTGGCAAACTTGACCTCCTCCTGGAGGAAATCCTGAGCGTCCAGTTCGTACTTGGAGGGATCGTCGGTGTGCTGCTCAATGTACAAGCGAATGGTGGCTCCAGATGAACCAGTGCCGGAGAGTCGAACAACAATTCGGCTACCGGAAGAGAAGCCGGCATATAAGCCCTGCTTGGAAGCGACAGAGCCGTCGAGATCGGTGTAAGAGAAGTTGCCAGCCTTTGTAACCTTGCGACCTGGAATAAGTTAGCAGAGATTGTCAGCCGAGATTGCGAAATCACTCACCCTCAATGGTGCTGCCCACAAAGTTGGAGTCGTTGACAAGCTTCTCTAGCTCACCAACAACCTTGTTGGCGCCCTCTGAATCGACATCCTCGTAGTCGTAGCGGGTGAAGAAAGTACGACCGTACTTGCCCCAGAACTCCTTCTGGATCTCCTTAATTGATGGGGTGACGCTGGGGTTTTGGACACCAACACCAGCGATGATGTTGAGCCAAGCGATAACAGCCCATAGACCATCCTTCTCACGGATGTGATCACTACCAGTACCGAAACTCTCCTCACCGCAGATGGATAGCTTCTTGGCGTCGAAGAGAGCGCAGAAGAACTTCCAGCCTGTGGGCACCTCGTAGCAGTCGAGACCCTGAGCCTTGGCGACGAGATCAACGGCACCACTGGTGGGCATGGAACGAGCGAGACCATTGACACCGTTCTTCTTGAAGTAGGGGATCAGATTGGCGTGGTGAGCGATGATAGCCAGGGAATCACCAGGAGAAACGAAGGCATTGGCGCCATAGATCATGTTTCGGTCACCATCACCATCGGAAGCGGCACCAAAGGGAATGTTGTTCTTGTCAA